TGGAGTCAAGGGATTTGTAATAGATATGTATGATATTGGGGGGAAGTGAGATGGCAGATTGGGGGAGGGGGGTTGTCACTTCGAGGGGTAAAAAGTATAACTATTGTACTGTGTTGTATACAGCTGAAACTAATTTTTAAAAATGTGTATTTCATAATAAAAAATAATTTAATTTAAAAAAAGAATTATAAAAGAGCTAAAAAAAAAAGAAAATGTGTTGGTTGATTGAATAAATGAAGGCTGTCAGTATTAACCTCCTGATTCGGCTTATAAAGAAAACGGAGGCTCAAAACATTCATGTAATTATCGAAGGTCCCAGGGCTAATGAGTAGTAGAACCAGGATTTAAAGCCAAAAGCCAAGCTCTTTCTATCACAGCTCCCTCAACTACCGCGGGGCCAGTCTACAGATTATTCTGATCCCAGGAGTGTTCTGGAAACCTGAGGGGAGTGCAGAGTCTGACAGCTAAACAAGCACTGCAAAAGGTTCAGATGCAGTTTCAGGTTCTGGAAACAAGTCGAAACTCTCTGGATGGCACCCTTACGCTCAGGCAGCAGTACATGCAAAAGTGTACCTAATTCCACCCTCCTTTTAAATTTTAACCGGAGTATGTAAGGCCTTTGCAGAGAAAAGCTTTCTCGGAGCACAGCATGACAGAATCCCTTTGTGCGTAAGATCTAACAGCACCCGCAGAAGACACAAATGGACACTCAGACTATGATGATGTCGGAGGACACCGCCGGCAGCCACCGCGGGAGCAGTCACCATTCACCTTCTGCCCAAGATGCTCAAATTCGTGTTCCTGGTACATATTGCTAAAGCACAGTGGTTTCTCCTGTAAATTATTTTCAAAGGACAAAGACATTCACCCATTCATTTGCTGTGCCCTGCGGACTGTGCTACGCCTGGGGTTCAGGGAGGGACCAGGCACCCCTCTCTTAGTTCCACCTGTAAGGGGCCTCGAACCCTGACAGCTTGCATCTGGTGCACGGCACTTGAGCACACCACCCTCCCTGGACTGGCCTGCAGTGTCTGTACTGACACAAGCCCAAATCTCAGAGCAACTGAAACCCCAAACACCTCAGGACCAGGATAGGAGTGCAGTCCCGGCTTGGCCAGGTGAGCTCTTTCAATGGGCCCCAGGGTTTGCTAGTGAAGGCTGTGTGAACACTGAGCAAGTTCCTCTTTGGCCCTTTTTTCCTGGTGTTCATCAGTTTCCGTTTCCGTTTGCCTTATATAGGCAAAGTGCCACCTGGTGGCCAAAGCTTGAACTACCAGTTTAGATGGACCAGAAGCCGCAGTGTGTAAAGACACACACATTTGTATGTATGTATCAACCATAGATCCTAGATTTTTAAAAGCCATTCTAATTTCAAATATTTTGTTAAACTACCCCTATGGACGCACTCACATTTTTCTTGTAGAAAATAGGGTCACAATGCCTATGAGACAGTAGGGTATCTTATCTTATTTCAGTTGTAAATTACAGGCCA